CCAGCGGTCATAGTAAACACAGCAGAGAAAAATATCTTGAGTGTGTGACGCTGTCACGGTGCCATGAGGTAAGTCTGTAATTTACCTGATAAACCAGGATAAACTTCCTGTTTTTTGTTTTGTTTTTTAAGATCACATACTGACATTCTGTTTCTAATTAATTATTATAGTGACAGATGGTAGCTCTGCCGTTTTTCTAGAGTAATTCAAATGAATGCTGTAAATAGAGGTGTAATTACTGTTTGGTGTCCATCCGTGCATTCTCTTCCAATTCAGGGTTGGAGCCTGTCCAGCTACCATAGGGCAAGAGGCGGGGCGCACGCTGGACAGGACAGGGCTAATACATAGAGACTGACAACCATTCATACTCACACCTATGCGCAATTTAGAATCACCATTTAATCGAACCTTTTCTGTCTGCCAGTGTGTCATGCAGTTTTCAAGATTAAAGACCTTTGCAGAGAAAAAAAAGTTGCCTGCTCCAGCTCCTGGAAATGCATATAACCTTCTTATCAATATTAGTTTCAGACAGCAATTAATTATTTAAATTTTTAATAAAAAGCCTTCTGCCTGGTTTTATACCTTTGTCTTTCTGTAACATAGACCACAAACCGACATTTTCCCCACAACTCCACCCATCAGCTCGTCTCAATCTGGAGTTGACCTGCATACATCCTGTTCAGTCTGTCAGTTCTTTCACACTTACTGCTGTTGAGGAAACACTCCCAGGTTACCTGGTGATAGTCACAGTTTAGTGTGAGCAGCATATAAGATAACATCATTACCTTATAATTACGTTAATGTACTTTGTTTCCTTAGCTCAGACCTGCTGGAGATTGTGTTCACCCTCAGAGGGACATATCTGAATGAAAACTGATAAACGGGTTTTAAAAGGAGGGAGCGATGGACACTGAGTATCATATCAGTCAGTGTAGAAACAGGCCGTAAGTTTCAGGACCAGAGGTAATTATTTGCTTGTCATCATTTTTGATCTGACTCAGGGGTGCTGGCTTAACGTCTCTTCCGGATACATCTCTCCTTTACATGTAGGTCACGGATGTAGAATTGAATTGAATTGAATTGAATTGAATTGAATTGAACTCAATTGAATTTAATACTGTGGCTTTTTT